CCCCCCCCCCCCCCCCCGGGCAGGGGCTGGAGAAAGGGACAGTGGCAGGTCAGGTCGGGGACAGGTGCCAGCGTCATTCCTCCCCAGGAGGCTCCCTTAGCACAAGGACTTCTGTGGATGGAGTCTGTCCTGTCTTGATCCTCAGGACATCATTTCCTTAGCGCCATGCCCTGCGTGTGAGAACCTTCCGGTCAGCTCAGGCCTGTAGGACGCACAATACCTGATCCAAAGGCCGTGCCTGTGCAGCGGCGGTGCTGGACCCACGCTGGCCCAGGAGGCTGGCGGCGTCTCCGGGTTATTCGGAGTTGGGGGTGTGACTGCGGAAGGCATATGCTCTCCCAGGGGAGACCAGACCTTGGGCGGAGTCCGCTTTTGGGGCGGCTGTTAGGGATAGATGGAGGTGGGAGGATAGGATCCATCTTTGTACAAATTGTGGCCATCACCGTGCATGCTGTCTGGGGCCTCTGCACCAGCTCTATTTTCCTATAGGTCCCTGGATGGCCTCCACTTACATCAGGGACTGAGGGTCTAAGTGCAGGGCGTCGGTAGTGAAGCGCCAACCACGGCAGAGATTCAGAATCGCTCACATCACACAAGTGCCCTCTCGGATACCCTCAAGCCAGGGAGGGAAGGATTAACATTCTGGTCCTAAACCCCAAAAGATGAAGGAGCCTGTAGTGATGGACTCGCTTCAGGTCGCAGCACGGAGAGGGGCACGCCAGAAAGGACACTGCAGTCTTGCGCAGGTGCACAACTCTTCCCAAGGATCGGCCCATTCGAACGGTGTGGATGTGAGGATTCTCAGAAGTCCCATTCCCCTTGCACTCAACCTGCTCACCAGACATGACCAGGGCAAAGTCCTTCTTGGACACGAGAAACCGAGCACTCCCTGCTGCAACGCATTCAATGTTCTCATCCAAGTCTCACCTCTCCCTTCTCTTGACAGGACCCCTAGAGAAAGCGCAGTGATCAGACCATTTTACAGAGAAGGAAACCAAAGACCAAGAGGGCTGGATTCAGAAGACTGTCTCAGTGCCGGGCAGAGGCAAAGCCGGAAGGTGAGCCCAGGAAGCAGGCCCTGGAAATAGTAAGGCGCACCTTTGAACAGCATCGAGGGTCCCTGTGAACCAGGGGATGCCAAGTGCTGCTTAGGGCGGCTCGGAGCGCCTCACTGCCATCCCCTCCTCCCTCTGGCTGAGGAGTTTTAAGACCTCCTTCAGGACTCGGGGTGCAGCTGGTGGGAAGCCCTGGGTTCCGTCAAGCCTGCTTAGCCTGCAGGAGGCCTGAGTCGATCTCTGGGTGCCTAAACCACGTTCCTGCACCTTCCTGCCGGGGCCACTTCACCGGCCTTCTGACCACAGGAATCCCCACAGAAAGCCACAGCCAGGCCGGGATTCCCAGCCGAGAGGCCTAGGGGGTAGTGCCAGGAGCCGCCCACCTTGCACCTTTATTGGCCAACTGGGTGATAGGATTT